GAATTTACCAAACAAGGCACGGAGGAGACTGTTTTAGGCCATATATAAGATTTGCGAAAAAGACGACATACCAATCCATATGGACTCCCCATGAGCAACAGAAGGCGGGTTTGCTCCATATAAATTTTCTTCATGCAAATCACCATTGAGGAAAGCATTTTTGACATCAAGTTGGTAAAGAGGCCATTGCGAAAGAGCGGCCATGGCAATGAAGAGGCGAACAGAGGTCATTGGGCATGGGAGGCAAAAGTATCACCATTAATCCAAACCAAGAATCTGTGTTGGAGCCTTTGGCAACCAGTCTAGCTTTCAGACGATCATCGTGCCATCAGGACCAACCTGATAGCATAACCCACCTGCAACAACAACAGACTTTCCAGGATGGTATGGGACAGCTCCCCAAGTTTCCACTTCCTGTAAAGACTTATTCATCCATCATAGCTTGACGCAACAGGAGGAGTTAAGGCATTCACTCACAGATTTGGGAATGACACAGAAGACATGTATGAGAGACACAGTATAAAAAGCTGAGATAATTGTGGTAATTAAGAACAGTATTAATGGGGGGAGAAGGGGGTACGGGGTTAGAGAGCGTATTACCTTTACGGAGGGCAATAGGCCGTCAGGACTCAGTTGCTGGAAGCCGGAGGAGACAAATGAGGCCGGCAACGGAAGTGAGTCTTGAGGGAGGACGATTACGGCTGACTATAAAACCGAAGGCGGTGGAGGTGAAGGAGGATCCTGTGGTGGAAATGAGGTTTAAAGAAGGGAAGACAAAAATGGGGGAGCAATCACCAGGAGGATCACATATAATAGGAATATCACAGTAACCGGGAGAGGTACAGAATAGGAAGATATAGAAGGATTAGATGTGAAAAAGTAAAAAGAAGACTCATCAAAAGTGACATCAGCAGAGATTAAAATGACGATGCGATTTGAGGTAAGGGGAAAACAAAAACACTGATAGACCTTTTGTGACCTGTGGAAATCCTAAGACGACACATTTGTGAGACCTAGGAGATTAAACTTATCAAGACAGGACTCCAAAATCATGAACAAAACCTGTAGACCCAAAAACTCGAAGAGGTAATGGATGCAGAGGGTCTTGAGGAAATAAGATTAGAATCGAGGGATTTTGTTATCTAGGACGGAGATGGCTGCGGGTGAGAAGATAACATGATGTGAGAACTGCATAACCCCCAAAAACGTCGAGTGGTACTTGACCATGAATAAGAAGTGTACCGAGTTGTTTCCATTAAGGTGTCTATTCTTGCAGCTCAGCCACCCAATTTGTTGAGGGTATAAGCACATGAGGTTTGTGAAGAATGCCATGAGAAGCCATTAAACTGTTAAACGGTTGAGAAAGGTATTCAGGCCATTATCACTACGTAAATTCGAATAGCAACCCCAAACTGTGTTGTTCTTTCAGTGAAAAAGATTGAAAAATAGAAAACAACATCAGGAAGATCTTCATTAAAACAACAAGTACATCTGAATAGTCATCAATAAAAGGTAACACAATACTGAAAACCTAAAAGGACTTAACACGACAGGTCCCCAAATGTCAGAATGAAACCAATGAAAAAAGCGACGACGCCCGTTGTGAGACACTCGGAGAAAGGGAACTACGGTATGCTCCCTAACCGACAAGACTCACCACGACAAACTGATATGTGGACACAACCTCGGGACAAGGTGTTGTAAGTTTTGGCAAGACTGGGATGACCGAACTGAGCATGAAGAAGGGATGGTGTTCCATTGACCAACGCCAAAATGTGGAGAAGGGCGGAGAGATAAAGGCCATGAGACTCACATCTGTGCCAAATCATGGTTTCGAACTCCAGTCCGCAACCAACAGAATCTTAGTAAAGAAATAACACAATTAAGAGTTACGAGTTTAAACGACTTAATGGACAATAAGGTGATTGAAGGAGATCCAGGGGACTACGTCATGATCCAATGGATATGATGGAACATATTAACAGTACCAATTACCATGAGATGGACTCTAGACCCATCAGCCATTGCTTACTGAGGGAAAATTATCGACAGGACAAGGAAGGAAAACAAGGACTTGTTACAGTGATATGATCGGTGGCGCCTGAAGTTCCAGGACCCAAGGTCCGCGGGGAGTGAGTTATTTTGACCAACAAAAAAGGTTGTACCTGCTCGGGCAAACAGATGAAGATGTGTAGTGGAACCAGAGTGTGATGATTCTAATACCATTGAGAAATCGTTAAAGATTGCAGGTTTGTCTCGATATTAGCATGAAGTAGGATGGTCTGCAGACGGTGATCGGGGAGGGTGGATCAGAATTTGCATTGCTAAGGTCGAGGAGGCGTCCATGGAGAGCATAAAATTATCAATTGTGTGGACTAACTTGCACATGGTAACATTTTGGACGTCCTGTACTGGCTTGCGGAGACCGACTTTCGTCATCCGTTTGAGCAGCCATAACAGAGGAATAACAGTATGAGGGATGTCTCGTGACGGGTGCTCGGTATACGCAAAAGAGCAGAAACAAGTAGAAGTAAAGTGGGTATGACAGGGAGAACCCAAAAATATGCTCACGGCATGAGAAACATCATCCGAGAGTCCGGTCTAGGCCAACAAACATTGAAGAACTTTGATCGTTGTTCCAATCTTCAGCAGGAGTGGAAAAGCAGAGGTAATATACATGAAAGTCAGAAGAAGAGGCATGAAATTTTACCCAAATATTCTGCCATTAGGACCAGGATTGCGCGGACCAATAACAGGTAATAGGTCCGGACAAACACCATAAAAAAGACGCTGGAGGGCATTTGTGTATAACACTTCGCTTGTGCCATTAATTCTGAACATGTTTGATTAGGATCAAAACATTGTTTCAGGGAGGAGTATGGTGGAATGTGACTTTATAACACCATTGCATACTGAGCATCAATTTTCATCCAGACAGGGAAGTGTCATCTATGGGAAGCAGTAGCACATTTTGGATAGATTGATCTACATACCCTGACTCTTCAACCAAAGTTGATGTCGGACGCCCCATTGTGCATAATTTGTGCATCTAACTGTCAATGGACAAGTGTACATCAAAAATTGGTATATATGAGGATCAGAAGAGAAGATGAGCCACCCAATAGAGGTGGTTGTTAGACGAGGGGAAGACGCCCATAGAGAGGGAGAAAGAAACCCTAAAAAATTCCAAAGTGCTCGATTGGACGCAACGACCACAGATTCTAGAAAAAGAGGGCGAGGGAGGAGCGCAGATAAAGGCAGGAGCGGATCGGAGGGCGGAAAGCTCCGGCGAGCGAAGGAACGCGCGGCGGCAGCGGCGGGCAGCGAGCGACTATTGCGGCGGCGCGGGAGGAGCCGTGGGAGGTCCGTTCGCCGCGATCTTCGACGACGGTGGTCGGCCCGGCGAGACGATTTTCCGATGGTGTGGTCGCCGGTCGATTCTGGAACCTCCGGAGACGGACGGCGCGGCGACGGCGGAGGCGGCGGCCCGCGGCGGACGACGCGGCAGCGACGGCGGCAGTGATGGGTGCCGGAGACCGTGGAGTTGACTGGAACTATTCCTGTGCTCTGATACCATATGAGAAATAGAGAAGATTGGGAGAAAATATCCCTTGTGTGTTTAGCATACACATAGGGTAATTTATTTATATTGTAAGATATGGGCCAATTCCCTTAATACAGAATAGTCTTAGCCCAAATAACAGAAACACACATCTTAACATCTAACAGATAGCAACAAAAAATGTTGAGCAGCAGGACACTTACCTCCATTGCATCTAGTTCAGAACGATAAAGATGAAAACCATCCATGGGAAGGACAATCGCAATATCTGGAGGTTGCACCTTAGAATCAAAGGAAGAAGCTTTCTCTAGCCAAATTTTGTTTATGCGTCTGGCTACTTCGTGTGCTAGAGTGCTCTTTCCAGCACCTGGAGGACCAGCCAGGCCAACTAAAAGCCTATGCAAGTATCACAGAAAGCGTGACTAACATGATTAAACTATGAAGACACAAAAGGACAGTATAATTAGTTGATGCTTAATTATATCTTCTATTTCACTAACCTCGCCACTCCCACCCCCGCAACCCCCCAAAAAAAAAAAGGGTGTAAAGGAAGGAGCTGTAACCACTTCACTAGATTTGATATAATAAATAAATTGTCAAATATTGGATAGTAGGAAACACGTATTTAATGGAAGGTAACATAAAGAATGGCAAGCAGATAAGTAATATAGCAGTTTGCACAACCCAACCAAGGCTTTCACGACAGAATTTGGTTATTCAGTGGTTAAAGTTTAAGGTATAAATAACAGTATAGCTATGACAGTCACATAATACTTCAAAATCATGCAGTGGATAGTACTGATAATACACAACAACCATCAATGTATTTAGCACATAGGAGAAGACACAATGTATTTAGCACAAAGGAAAAGACACATTTAATGGCCCTATACAACATGGTAGAGGATATACATCATTCTGCAAGGAAAATTACATTCTATACAATTGCATTATTACTCAGAATAACCTTTGTTTTTGTAACTCCACAAACAATAACTTACTTGTGATTAGGATTTGATGACAGTAACACCAAAGGCAGAAGACGTGCAACTAATGCATCATATAACTCATCAACACAACTGCATAGTACAAGAACCAGAAGAAACAAAATAAACTCAATTCAGACAATCTTTTGTAGCTTTTTCTACCGCAAAAAAACGATGTAGCCAAATTTCAATGCTATGCTCATCTTCGTGTACTGCTTTTTACGGGTTCACCAAAGCTTTTATTCCTGAGAAATCAACTGCTCTGTATATTGTAATTCAAGCTCAATAAGCTTGATGAATATACAAGAGAACATGATAGAGAGCTTGATGAATAAACAACTGTTATCATTGATCAGAAAAAACTGCTATACAAAAGATAGAAAGTTCATTTATATACAAAGCTAAAATACAGAATGAGAAAGACTAACAAATTAATTATGTTTTACTATCAATAATTGAGAACTAACAATGAAAAAACAACTGATCATGTTTTACAATCAATGATTGAAAACTAACTTTAGCTAAGATGCCCCCACAACCTTGGAATAGATGTTTGACATTCCCAGCTTGGAGTGAAATGAGCAAAATCAGCGGGTAATAAAGCCTTTGGGTGGACACCAGTTAACTGAAGATATGAAAAAAATTGGTAGGAGTTGAGTAAACCCAAGTTGACCTTTTCAAAAACAATGACAATCAATTACAATCTGCCTTGTTCTTTCATAAAAAATGAGATTGGCAGTTATATGGAGAGGAGAATGACTCTCGTAATAAAAGAAAGCAGGTCTGTCAAAATAGATTTTAAATTTCTCAAGCAAATACATCATCACCCACTAAAAATTTACATGCTGCGGTAGCAAGAGGAACTAAGAGAAATTGTTTCTTGAACCTCCATGACCTGAGGGATGGTCTTACACGGTAAAAAGAATCACAGATTGACAAGTGTCATGGCAATCTGTTACGTACCTGAGTACGTAAACTAGCCAAACACAACCGCTCACACTCTCACAGACAATGAACAATGGTAAATAGCTGGATAAACCTCTTTATTAAATTGAAATAACTGTATCAAGAAAAACAAACAATAACTGGGAGCAGGATCTCCGTCAGTTACCTGAGAGCATAACCTCTCTTACAAAACTCACAAATCAAAAGCATACCTTTAACCCTAGACTCTCCCCTTTATTTATACTAATTATTTCCCGCACATTAAATATTTCCCTAGAATATATCTTCATTTAATATAAATATCCCTATATTTAATATAAATATCTCCTCATATATTATCCTAGCATATATCCTTAATTATAAATATCTTATATTGAATATTNATAAAAGAAAGCAGGTCTGTCAAAATAGATTTTAAATTTCTCAAGCAAATACATCATCACCCACTAAAAATTTACATGCTGCGGTAGCAAGAGGAACTAAGAGAAATTGTTTCTTGAACCTCCATGACCTGAGGGATGGTCTTACACGGTAAAAAGAATCACAGATTGACAAGTGTCATGGCAATCTGTTACGTACCTGAGTACGTAAACTAGCCAAACACAACCGCTCACACTCTCACAGACAATGAACAATGGTAAATAGCTGGATAAACCTCTTTATTAAATTGAAATAACTGTATCAAGAAAAACAAACAATAACTGGGAGCAGGATCTCCGTCAGTTACCTGAGAGCATAACCTCTCTTACAAAACTCACAAATCAAAAGCATACCTTTAACCCTAGACTCTCCCCTTTATTTATACTAATTATTTCCCGCACATTAAATATTTCCCTAGAATATATCTTCATTTAATATAAATATCCCTATATTTAATATAAATATCTCCTCATATATTATCCTAGCATATATCCTTAATTATAAATATCTTATATTGAATATTTCCCTGAATATATATTTATTTACTCTAATTAACTTATACTGAATATTCTCTCTGCTTCCCACCGTTCGGCCTGGTCGCTCCCCGTTGTCCACTGTTCGGCCTAACCTCTCCATGCCTTCCACCATTCGGCCTAACCTCTCCATGCCTTCCACCATTCGGCCTTTACGGTCAATACCGTTCGGCCTCACTTCCCCTTTTGTCCACTGTTCGGCCTAACCTCTCCATGCTTTCCACCGTTCGGCCTTTACAGTCAATATCGTTCGGCCTCACTTCCCTCCTACCTTTCTTCTCCTTCTCATTACCTCCCACCTTATACCCTAACACAATCAAACCGACCAGTCAGAATCACTAAAACCCTTGAGCTGAATATGATTTTCTTAGGGAAATATATATATATCTAAACCAGAACCATTCTTGAGACATTGATGGTTGCTTGTTGATCAGAAGAAATGGGGGAATCAATGAAATGACTTAGATGTTGCACTACATAGGAAATGTCAGGTCAAGTGGTGGAAAGGTAAAACAATCTACCAATCATATAACGATAATGAGACGAATCAAGGAGAGCACTACCAGAAGCTTGATGTACCAATAGTCAATTTGGGAGCTCACAGGTTTAGCACCAAGAAGCCTGTATCAATGAGAATTTCTAGTCATACTTGCACCAATAAATATGAATTCCAGTTCTGTTATGGGAAACTTCAAATCCAAGGAAAAACCACAAAACCAAGATCTTTCATGTGTTTATCAAGAATATGAGTGATAAAGATGATCTCAAAGATGTCATTTTGAGAAAGAAGAATGTCGTCAAAATATGAGTAGAGCATTGAACAAAAAGGTAACCTTTGTATTGATAAAATGTACAAAGGAGGGCAAGGATTCTGTTAATATAGAGAATGAAAAGAGACAGGGCTGTAAAGAACCGCAGATAAAAAGAAAACCCCTATAACAAAAACAATATCAAACTGAATACAGTACTAACAGAAACCATGTATCTGATAGAACCCTGAAGGTTTACGTTAGAAAAAAACATAGAAATTAGTAAGAAGTGGTTAGGATAGTTAGGAGTAAGAAGTGGTTAGGATAAATAGGAGGAGTTTTAATCAGCAGTTAGGAGGAATTTCGTTAGCAGTTGAGTCTGCTTTACTATCAATGACTGAAAACTATCAATAGCTAAGACTAAGTTCCAATGTTAGCAGCTAAGACTGCTTCTGAATAACTACGGTTCTTTGTTAACTAGAAAATAATGACACAGAATCAATGTCGATCATTCAATTAGTAAATATCACGTGAATTGAATTCTATGCTGAGTTCCGCATTTTCCTTGAATGATTACCAAAATTTGCTCATGAATGTAAATATCCGTGCACCAGGCCCCACAAATGAGCTTGACATCTATATCATATATTCATGTTATATTTGCAAGTGGATGAAAGAAAAAAGTACATACGAAAATTAAAAACACATCAAAGTATACAACACTAAACATGTTATACCTTCCCTCTACAACGTGAATTTGATCCTTTTCAGCTGATAAAACCTGGCAGAGCAAATAACGGTAACAAACATATTAACAAGGCATGCAGAGCCAACACTCTAATGAAAACTTATGTGCGTTTGAAATCTCTTACAAACAAACGTATTATGTTGAAATGACATGAAAATTTGATTTAATAAATCAATTCTCATTTGCAAATCGTTTTGGTGGTATATTTGATGCTTATACAAAACTGAATTCTGAACCTTAAAGAGAGAACTCTTCCTCGTTTGAAGTGACAGCTGCACAAACTTGCTAGAACGAGCGATGGACAGTGAAGACGGAATCCGATCGCGATTCTCCACTACTCTCAGGAGCAAAGGTTCTGCGAGAAGCGAAATAAGAAGGAAGATTGAAGTAGTGCGCGGATAGAGTAAAACGAGGAGGGAATGTAATGCGAAATTTCGGTTGCGAAATCAGAACCATATAAGGATTACATAGAAGCATACCTGCCGAAGCACGAACCTTATTCCAGTACCCTCTTCCCGTCGTTGAAGAGAAAATTGCTTCCATTTACCCGGACTTCAAAAGCCTTCAACTGTATGGCGATAACACTACGTCATGGTATTATATGAGTGCTTGATCATAATTTAATTAAATTTAGTTTAAATGATTATTCATCAAGTCGTTGTAGTATAGTGGTAAGTATTTCCGCCTGTCACGCGGACGACCCGGGTTCGATCCCCGGCAACGGCGTTTTTTATAAATTTTGTTTTTTTACTTTAAAATTTAGAGCCACAGGTATTATTTTGGGTTTGTCTACTTTAGCTGGTACATATATTAGTCAAAATATTATTTTTTTCTTTTATAATATCAAAATAATCTCATTTTAATCTCAACATAAAACTTTAAAACGAGTCTACTATACTTTGGAATAACAAGGAACTGCATTATTACAATTTTATACACACTAAATAAAATAATTATAAAAATTCAAAACGAAAATAGAAAAGCAACCTTATATAATAAAGATAAAAATTTAACTCAAATACAATTTAAGTTTTTGTTATAAAAAGAATACTTTGGTTCTTTTTATTTTATTTAAGTTTTTGTAAAATATATCTTTGTTTCAGTTCCTAAAATAGTTTTTCGTTATGAATTGCTCTCTTTCATAGAAACCAAAATAAAACAAATGAACACATTATAAGGACAAATAAAAAAACTGAGTGAACATCAAAAATTATAGGAAATAAATGTCAAGAACTAGAGAATAAAAAAAGACTTCACGATTTATTTAAATCGAAATTATTCAGACTGTTATATTTATCAAAGTTTAAGGTGTAAATGAGCTCATTTGAGAAGGTATAAAAAGGAAATTAAATTCAAACAATCATTGGATATTTCACTTGGATCTAAGTAAAATTATATTCAAATCAACAGAGAATTAATGCCCTCGTGCGAAATCAATATTCAAATATTCGCTTTAGTAGATATTCGTTTAATTTCAGTATCTTGAACTGAACACAAAACTATATATACTCCACCATTTTTGTGTCCAAATGGTATATTATATTTATTTTGCTCTAAAACTTTGTATATTATAACTGCATATTGAATTCCAACCTGAGTTGTTTATGTGAAGGAAACTAATATGTGAGATAGAGAGAGAGCGATTAACAAAGACTATATTGGCAGCAGCTCCAGACCAATAAATTTGTGGGTAATTTTATTTGAAAAAATCCACGGAACAGAATGACAGACCTGAGGTGACTAATCACAGTGCTAAGCGATAACAGATTGTGTAAAAAGAAAGTTATCGCGTTCTATTTTATCATAGGGGCAAATTCGAGAACCAAATCCGAACTGTTTTGTGCCTAGTAGAGTTTAAATAACATGCAAGGCGTTAACAGCTATCTGAGATTCAATTTGATTCATCTCATGTCTTCTCAATCCAGAAGCACGTTACAAAGTCGTCTCTTCTTTCTACTTCTCTTCGTTTCTTCATCGGGCGACTGCACATTTTTAAAAAATTGTGTAAATTATGTTAGAAAAATGAACACTAAGCTGAGGTGTTTGAATCCATAATAAAATCATCATAGCACAAGTAACAAGTTAAAGTATCCAAGCAAGTTCTAATCCCGTTTCCATAATGTGGAATGAAAAGAAATGAATGACTTCGCGGAAAGTGACAAAAAGCCACTGGCCACGGTGGGTTACGGAGATAGCTTCCTAATTACTACTAACATTCTTAAAATTCGTCTATTTAGCAGAATAACAAATGACACCAAATTATTCTAAAACATTATCTGCTATTTCTTTTAGCTTTACCTCAGTATTGACTAAATGAGGGACCCGAACCCTTTTGGAGCCATCAGGTAATCGCTTACAAGGTGAATAGTTTTCCAAATCAGTAAAAGCATTGCAAACCTGCAAACAAATCACAAACACGAATGCAAAGGTACGTTTGGGTTAGAACATGAAGAATTCCAGAAACCCGGGTAAACATGTTTTGTTCATTAACTAAGGGAATTTATTTCTTCACATTTACTGACAACTGAAGCTTCAATCTTTAAAGGCCTATAGAACTATAAAAATAGGAAGAAAATATCTGAACTGTTTCGATACCTGACTTTGAATAGCCCCTACTAACATGTCCTGACAACCAGACGCATGCACATTTTCTAAACTAGGGCACTGAAGCAACAGTCTCTCTGTAAAAAAATGGTGAAAAGGGATTAAACAACTATTTAAGGAAATCCTTAATGTTGCATCAATTCTTCAGCTGATAACAACCATAGAACGGGTGTGAAAATACTACCTGGGTGCAAATTTCTACAAGAATTTAGATTCAGATCCTTCAGCCGAGTGCAGTTTAAATATAAGGCCTGTATATTAATTCAAAAAAAGAGACTCCAAATATTAGAAGCGTGAGAAACTAACATGTTCAATAAACTTTCCCAGTCAAATAAAACTTACATCCAACCCCGAACATCCCCATAAACTAAGTTTCTTTAAACAGCTGTGTTTGATGATTAGCTTTTGGTTTGTAAGGTGTAGATTAGTAATAGGCATCTTCTGTAGTTTGTGGTTATTTTCATCGGCAATTGGATTGCCAGAATCTGGTTCACATATTGTCATGCCACAGTCCATAATTTCAAGATGTGGCAATTGGGCAGTAGCAAACTGAATGCCACCTGAAATGTAAGATAAAGCGGTTAAGGTAGAAATAAACCAAATGAAAGTTAGTAAACCAGATGAGTATAAAACAGTGATTACTTGAAGTCACATTAGGGCAAAGAGCTAGAAGAAGTCGTGTCAATGTTTCAGAGAACACATTGCAAATCATGCTAATGCCACTGTCACTGACGCTGGATCTGTTATATAAAAAAAAAAAAACCGTTAAACAAACTTCTTGAACAGGCAACACAGTCAGATATGCAATATCCAATAACATTGACCACTTCTATGTCAATTAACTAAAATTGATCAATCTAAAGACTACTTTATATCGTAACATTAATCATTATCCATTAACAATAACCAATCTAACAACTAATTGACCAGTGGTTGTAGACTTTTAGAAAAACCGCTATTAGACCGAAGACCGCAGTTGGCTGAAGAGAATCTATTTTGGTCACTCATCCACTCATAAAGCATGAGGTACTGTTCTGGATTTTCCACTTCTATATAAAATGTATCGAGTTGCAACAGACCTTTAATTTTTTCCATTTTCTAAGACATACGCAAATTTTCAGGATATTGAAGGAAACCAGAATGGAATCACACATACCCACTGAGATCAAGCAATTCCAGATTTGGATAGCTTGAGGCAATGGCAGCAACAGATGCATCAGTAACATCAGATCCAGAAACAAGTGAAAGCATTCGCAGCCCCCTAATTAACAGAAGCAAAAAAACTTTGTCAGGGCAAATATTGCAACAGCCATTGAAATATAACCTATGACACATAGATACCATACATCTATCAATATCATAAATGTTTGATATGCAGTATGATTACTGTAAAAAAGTATAGCATATTAATTTGCAAACGATGTCTTTAAATATGTATAAAGAATTTATGAAACACATAAATAAATACATAATTCTAATTTTGCAAATTCAAATTAAAAGCATTTTAGACATTAGTACATGACTAAGAAAAAAATAAAAATTACAAATCACTGTCATCATAAATTACTTCCTATTCTCTACGAATAGGAATAGTACCATGTTCATTCCTTTCTTGAGGGGAGTTACTGTTTTCGAATCATTGGAGAGTAGCGCTTCAATTTTTCATACTATACATGTTTCTATACCTTGCATGTAGCTAGCAACTAGATTTTCATACTTTTCTTTATCGGACACATTGAGTGCATATCCAAAGTTGTATCAGTGAAATATCCAAAGTTCTTAATATCGGACACATTGAGTGCATACATATAAAACAGGTTAAAGTGCTAGTGATTCATCGAATATAACAAAACAAAAAATAAATGAGAATTGCTCCAATAAATAGTGGTTGCTTATTATAGAAACTGTTAGGAAAACAAAAATGTATATTTCATAAAAAAATACTAATTATATATGTTTATAATGCAAAATTCGTGTCAACAACTACAAAATGAAATAAACCTGTTATGCTATGCATGTCTAGTACAAACTTAAGGTGACATTAACATTGACCGCTACATGGATTATGGTAAAGCTTAAATCCCCTTGCACAATTCAAAAAGGAGGCCAGCAATCCTAGACTTAAACAAACCTTAGCTGAGCAGCAGTAAGAGCGAGCACTGCAGTATGAGAAAGCTGCATTGAATATATACGTATGTTTTGCAACCTGGGGCAACTTCTTCCCAAACCTTCAACCATGGTTGCAAGATCAGTACTGTCATTTTCTCGATGAGAAAACTTCAATGAAATCTCCCTCAAGTGAGGACAATTAAAAACCTACCAATTCAGAGCATCTATTAGTAACCAGAGTTCACTCCGAGGCTAAGATCAAAGGGATATATCAAATTCAGAAATTTAACAAATCTAGCAGAATTAAAAGAAGATAGAAAAGTAATATTACCATCTTAGAATGAGAGTACAGATCGGACAGCCAAATGGTAGAAAGACTAGAAGAACAAAGAACGAAGCCTCCAAGGCTAGAACAGCCTTCCATCTTAAGGCTTTTGAGGCTCTTTTTATCAGCAACAAATCGACCTAACTCAGTCCTGCATAGTTAAAGTTGCAGGAAAGGCAAAGTTAATCAGTAAAAAGTAGCATCCTCTGGTTATGTTGCATATTTCAATACTAGTACAAATTGTTTATAGCGTGTTTTGTAACCGCTCAAAACTATCCTTCTCAAATCTATGTAAAGCTCATTTTTTTATATTATTTCTTTAAATGTCACTCCTCTCATATAAACCAAAATCTATAACAAAAGAACCTTAAAGATTTGCAAACACAAACTTACCTAATCAATTCATTAATAATACCAAATCTGCAATTATTAGGTGCAATTGTTAACTTAAATAAAAGTCCTCAAAATCTGAGATTCCAAACCCTAACTAGAATTAGAGTTATATAGAATTTTGTCTCTGTTGAACCAAGCCATAATCAAGTGTTCACGACT